CTGAGCCATCTCTTTGGCCCCAAGGTTCAATACTTAATAAAATACTTAATAAACTACTACTTTTTAACTACTTCAGTAAGGGAAAAAAGTTTCAAGAAAAAATTATTAGAGTGAAGAGACAATCCATGAATTTGCAGAAAATACTCGCAAATCATGTATCGTAGCAAGGCTAGTACTGAAAATATATAAGCAACTCAAGCTACTCGATAACAAGAAAATAAACAAAACTATTTAAATGAGTAAAAAAAACTGCAATAGGCATTTCTCAAAATATGTAAATAGAAGATAAATGAAAAATGCTTAATATCTCTAACAGCCATAGAAATATAAATTAAAAACACAAAAAGATAACACCTCCCTCCTATTAGACTAAGTATTTTTTTTAAAGTGATGATGAGGATATGATGAAGAAGGAACTCACACGCTGTTGGATGTATTGTAAAGTAGGAGAGCCATTTGGGAAGCAGTTTGAAAATCCCTCAGAAACATTAACATGTAATTACCATATGATCCAGGCAATTCTACTACTGGGTGTACCCAAAAGAATTGAAAGTAGCATGCTAAGGGGCCAGGGAGATGGCTCAGCAGAATAAGCGCTTCCCTGGCAAGCACAAGGGCCTGAGTTCAATTTCCACCAAAAAAAAAAAAAAAAAGAAAAAAAAAAGAAAAAAGAAAGTAGCATGCCAAGGGATATCTGTACTTCTGTGTTTATTGCACATTATTTACAATAGCTAAGATATGGAAACACCTATGTGTTTATCAACAGATAAATGCATTGTAATGTGGTATATGTATACGTAATACATGTATACATAATGGAATAACATTCAGCATTTTAAGAAGTAGGTAATCCTGTCCTTTGCAACAATATGGATGAATCTAAAGGACATTATGTACCTCGGTAGTGTCCCAAATTTTCTGATCAAGAAGATTATGGGGCCAAAGAGGAAAGTGATCGATGACATAGAGTGGGCCTAAGGAGAGTCACATGGGGAGAAGACACTCTCTCAGGCTTTCACAGAGAGCACATTGGCCAAGCAATGGCCGTGACTCATCCACATGGCTGCACTGACAAAGGTTCTACAATCTGAGGTACAGGATCTCAGGATAAATGCTGAGGGCATTTCACTGACCTTCTCAGACCAAAAAGCTACAACTCTTGTTGCATAGGTCCTGCTTTACCTTGGTCTTAACCATCCAGTAGAAAAGTATGAAGACGAAATATAGGAAATAAAGCCATGCTGTTAAGTTGAGCTGTGGGGGACTCAGGTCAATAATTTCTGACATTGCCAGTTAAACAGAAGACCCAATGCTATTATGGGCTACTGGACTCTTTTAGAATATTTTACTGAGTTTACACACCTATAATATTCAATAACGGAACTTAGAAAAAATGGGGTATGCCTATGAATGTCCATTTTGTATCTGTGTATTCAAAGTGGTTGGGATAGATATATAGTTGCATTCTCTTAATGAATAGAATGATTTGTTCTAATGTTGTTTGTAAATAGGATCACAAGTCCGCATCTTGTACAGCAATTAACCACTAAGAAGAATATATGCAGTGTATTATTTGTTGAAACTGTACTTCTGATTGGATTTGAAACTGTCTCATTGCTATCTGTTTATCAATAAAACTTTGAAAAAAAAATAAAAATAAAGGACATTATGTTAAGTGAAATAAACCAGGCACAGATGAACAAATACCATATGATTTTATTTATAGTGTTGTGTTTTTTTAAAATTTATGTACTTGGTACAGGGTCTCACTACGCAGCTCAGACTCGTAGTGATCCTCCTGTTTTCAGCCTCCCTAGCACTAGGATTTTAGGCATGCACAACCATGCCCAGAGTCAGTGTCTGGATCAGCCCACCCTGGGGGTGGGGGCCGCTGCAAAATGTGGTGCTGGGGATTGAACCCCAGTCCCTGTGCTTACCTAAGCAGGCACTTACTCTGCTGAGCTATCTTACCAACCTTTTTACTTAAAACAAATTGAGACTTGAATGGTGGTTACCAATGACTGAAGAGAGGAAGTGAGTAGAGGGGTGGGTGGGGAAATAGGAAGTATTGGTCAAGAGGTGTAAAGTTACAGTAGGTGATTCTAGCATTCTATTGCACAGTAAGGCAGTTAATGTACTGTTATTTCAAAATAACTAAAAGAGAACATTCTTACCACAAAGAAATCACAAATATTTAAGAGGATAAATATGCTAACTGGCCTAATTTGATTATTTCACAACACATAGCAGTATCAAAATATCACCATACCCATAAATGCTGGTAGTATTATTTGTAATTAAAATAAATAAAAATCAGCATGTATTTAAAGTATACAGTATGAGTATTTAATACAAATACACGATGCACCATGGTTAGTACAAACTAACATATCCATCACTAGGCACACTTACCATTTTTCTGGGCAGGACCAGATTCTCTTAAAGAAAAGAGTCAGTATACTACTTAAATTTGAGAAAGAGGGGCCAGGAGATGGCTCAGTAGAATAAGTGCTTCCCTGGCAAGCACAAGGGCCTGAGTTCAATCCCCAGTTCCACCAAAAAAACCCAAAAAACAAAAAACAAAAAACTGAGAAAGAAACAAAACCTTATTGTGTTAAATTATTTTATTTTATTAAAGCATAATTTTATTATGCTTTAATTCCTTCATTTCTTCCTGATGACATATATAATAGTAAGTACTACAGTATGCATACAAATAAGTATAAATCACAAGACAGGAAATAAAATATTTTCTCACATATTCTTTGGTTCGAACCTTAATAGGTTAACCCTAGCAGTATACAAGAGAAGGGACCAAATTTACCTATCCTCCTTCACTACAGAGGCCAAATACAGTACTATGCTCAAAATATAATTTCATGAATTATAAATGATTCAGTCATGAGTTGAATTTATCATGCCAAATCAAGTCATTCTGATCGGTTTACTCACATTGTAGTCAGCTTCAGGAAGTCTGACTCCAGGAAATAGGTCACTAGTTATTCCATTAAATAAAGGTATGTCATGTGATAGAAACTTTGGTTCATTTACATCTTTAATTGACCGAAGAAGCTAAAAGCACAAAAAAGGACAATACAAGTTAACTCACTACATTTATATCTTCATCACACCCCATTAGCGAAAAATCATATTTAATTATTCCACAGAACCCCCAAATTAGAAACCCATACTATGTGTATTAATCCCAAAGGTCCTTGTATTCATACAAAGTATAATAACATAACCCAAAATTATAATTTCAGCCTCAAAAAAAAAAGACTTGAAGCAAAAACCCTTGCAATTGCCTAAAGTTCCTCATTTATCACTTTAAAAGTTACCTGTCTACTGAAATGTTCACAAAGCATATATTTAATGCGTACCAGTATATCCTCATTTTCATTGGGATATTTTAGTTTTAGGTTGCCAGCAGCCACCAGGACGGCTTTCACTGCTCGCATTCCATAGTCATAATGAAACTGTGATGACAGCTGCTCTGAGCAAAGCCTGTAGGTCATTACTATCTTCACAGACAGAGGTTTTGCATTCAAAAATCCATAGGAATAGAGAGATATTTCGGCTATAAGTGCGTAGTTCGGAACCATCATAGCCACTGTTCTAAAAAGAACCTGAGGTATATAATAAGTGAAATACGTTATTTACATAAAAGAAGCCATTTTTAAACAAGCATAATCATCCAAAGATAATGTGTTCACATTCAAGTTTATTTTTCAAATGCAACACGTTTTCATTAACTGCAATTTTTTCAGGAGTACTTTAATATTTTTATGCGCTTAGTATTTTTTGATATCTAAAAAACATTTTTGTAGGTTTACCTTGCAATAAATGGAAAAAAGTAAAAGAAAAATAACATTGTGCATTAGGGGAAAATCATATTCTGAGTGAATTACACTGTTATATTTTACTTGGATTTTTATTTTCTGAAATGGAACCACTGTACACTGTGCAAACCATATTTCCTAATGAATAAATAAGAAATTATGGTGCTGTACAATACACTAAAATAATAGCATACAAGGGAAAAATTAAGCTAAAGGTGAAAAAAATCTCTCTATACTTATAAGCGGGTCCTTAGCAATAATGCACATTCCAAATCATGACATCATTTGATGATGGAGATCACAACCCTATATCAAAACCCTAAGTGAATAGTCTTCTGAGTTATGGGAGTAAGGGCCAACACTTTCTAAAATTTTCACTGCAGTCACCTTACCTTCAACTTTTGGGGGGAATTAAGTTTGCCCTGGCAGTACTTTGGGCCTCAAGGCCTGATATCTACAGAAGTCATTCACATAGGATCCCTTGCTCCAGTTGGCTAAAAGATCTTAGATTCTGTGATGGGGACAAGGGTGAGGGGCTTAGGGAGGGTGGGGAGCAGTGGTTCTGAGAGTCAACTGTGTAAGGAAGAAACACACTGGGTTTTTGAAGTCTATCAGTTGCAAGTGGAAGGAATTCCCCAGATTAGTAGGGTTGTTGATGTTAGGCCTGGCTTAGCCTGGCTGCTGTAGGGCCCTACTGGTCCCAACAACTAACCTATTCCTATCTTCAATCATGACAGAGAAAAGATAATGACAACTTTGGTACACTAGACATTGACATTTTCATCTTCAACTGCATCAAATTCTCTTGCCTGCAGTGGTGGCCCTGGGTACCCTGTTGTCTCTCTGGATGCATGTGTTAGAGTCTCCTTCAGCTATCTTGGTTGTAACCTCTCATGTCACTAAAAATACTCAAATTCATCTCTCATCCAGTTTCACTGCAAAGAAAAACATTACCCTACAGAATCTAGAGGTAAAGCCAAAAATATGCTAAGAAGTTACACCATGAGTTGCTTCCACACTGAGATGCAAGAGACAATTCTTGATAGAACCCACCAACTGGGAGACAGAACTGACAAATACCTGGATTTTTTTAAAGGACAGAAACATTTGGCATTGCTAACTTCGACATTAAGATTTTTAAGGTGTTGCCCCTTTTGCTTCAAGAGACAGTTTGATGAGGAATCTGAAATTCAGGAAAATTTTTATTTTGTATTGAAGTTCAGACTTCCTTTTTTACACCCTCAGAAATTCTTGAAAAATAGGACCTGGTAGATACTTTTCATGGTCATTTGGAGAATGACTCACATGTCGAAGATGGTACCTAAATATGAACCCAATTATCAAAAAAACAAGACAATAAAACCCATAACCCCTGTTATGGCTTGTGTCTAGTGTCCCCCCAAGGCCTCATGCAGCCATAGGTGAGACCTTTTCAGAGGTGGCTGGATCTAGAGTGTGTGGTGCTGGGATTGACTCATGGTACAATGCTAGGACCAAGGGTGCCAGGTGTGAGTGCTACCCGCCCTAAGTAGCCTGGATAAGATATAAGGGATAGAAAGAGCTACGGTCGGCTCTTGTTGCTTTTGCTACCTTCTGCCCACCATGAACTGTTTTTCATTTGCGATGCTGCCCCACCTTGAAGCCAGACAATTATGGATTAAAACCCCTACAAAATGTGAGCTATGTAAACTTTTCCTCCCTTAAGTTTAGACATGAGGCATTTTGTTTCCGCAATGAGAAAAGTAACTAAGACAACCCCACCCCATCCCCAAATAACACACAACTCAAAGGAAGTTAAAACCACAGGGCAGCAGGCCTCAGAAATCAACAGTTAGGCTGCTCATCCAAGGGAGCTCTGCCACTGACAGGAAACCAGTGTGGGCAGGAGTAAGGGAAGAAGATTCAAATGCTCCTTTCTGGAGCGTGCACAATCTTTCCAGTTCCTGGTGCTTTATTTCTGGCCTCTAAGGCTCTGCTGTCAAGGTTTGCTCTGCAGTAGACACGGACAGCACATCCTGAGAATGAGACTCAGTCCCAGGGTTGGCCCTGAGTGTCAGCACATTGTGCAAAGAGTTTCTGCCAACTGCAAATCTAGGAAGGGGACAGTGTGCGGGCAGCAAGTTTTCACAGACTTGAAAACAAGAATGTCTGCGAGAAGTTCAGCACCAGGTGTGCTGCTGTCTGCTCCCCACTTCCCCAACCCTGCTATTGTCCTTAGGAGACAAACGTACAGTAAGCCTGGAAAGCCATTTAGTCTTCAGAGATCCAAGAGAAAGCAGTGATGACAGAAGGGTGGTGACAATAGGGTTGAAGAGCCAGAAAAATCTAAGGGCTTCCTTTGCATGTCCATCTGGGCTCCTAAGCTGGGAGAACATGAGGGTGTTAGCTGGACTAAGGAAGCCTGTTCTTGGGGACTGAGCACTGAAATCTGTGGCTCCGGGGCCCTAGAAATGGGGGCCAACTCTCCCCAAGTGCCACCACCATGAGACTTGGCCACATGAGGAGCACCCGCTCTCCCAGTTTCACCCAGTCTGCTTTGCGGCAGCCCTGGAGCAGTAGAAGAGAAGTGGATAAGGTGGCAGACACCCTCCTAAGCAAACCAAAAGGGCACTTTGCAAAGGGAGATGTGAAACAGCCAGGAAACATGCCAGAGGTCACTTCAAGGCTAACACACACACACACTTCAAGGATAAAACACACACACACACACACACACACACACACACACACACACAGTATCAATTAAAAAGTAGAAAGCCCCAAAGAAAAGCAGTTAGCAATTCCTGATTGGGATTACCCTCAAATAGCTTATACTGTTAAAAAGAGAAACAGGGGTGGGGAGAGGACATAATCCTGGATTCTAAGACACTGTGCACACACCCTAAACTGTCTACTGTGCCTCCCCCAGGACAGTCACTTCAAGGTTCAAACGTTTCATGTAATAGCAGAGTTCCTTGGTGTCTGAGAAGCTACGCCATCCTAGGTCTTCCTGGATCTGCATTGGTAAACATGAAACATTAGCTCTTCTGTAGCACCCAAGTGGAACCACTCAGATAATGTCAGTCTAGAATTAGGCTGCTGATGTCCCTAACTTGAAGCAGGAGTCAGAGAGTTTAATTCAGCATCTGTATTTCTCTGAAGTTCTGTTGAGAGGCTCCAGTTACTTCTGTTCAGAGCCTTCCAATTCCTGAGAGATTGCAGAAGTCTGTGACAAGCCCCAATTCTGTAGTTTACTGCAGTTCTACTTTCTGTGAATTGTTCATCAAGTTTTCCACTGGAGACTGAGCTTTGCTTGTCAGAAGCATCTTAACCTTCAAAATACTTTTGCTGATAACATCTGGCACATGTGAAATCCTGAGTTCAATGCCCTCTACTGCTGACTTGGCTACTAGGTCTCCCTCCACAAGTCCTGCATGCTCCTACTCCCACCAGCCCACTGCAGCCAGAAGGGGCTGTCCCTACTCCTGTGGTCATCGCTCCCCCCATGTTCACCCTTTCTGCCACAGTGCTGTGCAATAATACAACAGCAAACTGCTCTTTTTGATAAACTTACACTCTTAAAAATATTACCTTGAGGTTGTCTGGTAATTCAGAACGTCCTGCATAGCCAGGATTCATGGTAATAGCTACGAAGCAGTTGGGATTGAGCTTCAGTTCTGTCCCTTCAAAAACAAACACTTCCAACTTCTGTTGAATGGCTCTCTGGATGCAAAGGATCTGCTGTGCTACCACGGACAGCACCTCCAGCTCAATTCGATTAAATTCATCAAAGCAGGCCCATGCACCAGATGAAGCCAATCCTTTAAAAAACTAATGACAGGGGGTGGGTGAGGCGGAGGAAAAGGGGATGAAAAAAAGGAATTAGGATGCGTCCTGTGTATGTACCAACTCCACACAGGAGTACAACCATCACGTACACAAGCATGTACCAAAAACAAAACAAGCGAACAAAAACTAGGGACAAGAAAAAAGTAAATGATTTTCCTTAGAAAAGGATACCACTTATTGAACTAAATAAACTTTTAAGTCAAATTTGCAAGTCTGATAAAAGACCCAAGGATAAAAATATTGTTTTTACTCCTAAAAATCTAAGTTCAAGTAATACTTAAATCGCAATAATACCTTTTAATCTTTAAAAAAATTGCCCGGGGAGATGGCTCAGTGGAGTAAGTGCTTCCCTGGCAAGCTCAAGAGCCTGAGTTCAATCCCCGGTTCTGCCAAAAAATAAAAATTAAAAAATAATCTTTAAAAAAATCTTTATTTTGAAAATAACCCTGTAACTTTATAAAACCCCAACAATACTTAAGCATTGATTTGCTTCAATTTAGCCAGGTAGACCTAGTTGTAAATTTGTAGCATTTATTAACCCAGTAATTGAACTACCTTTCCCATTGCTAGATAATCTAGCCCATCTGAACAATTGAACACCACACACTGCACGGCAAGAGCTTTGGCCAAGTCCTTTGTAGTTTCAGTTTTTCCTGTGCCTGCTGGCCCTTCTGGAGCACCTCCAAGGTTTAAGTAGAAGGCACCTATCTGCAAAGAAAAAATATAATGAAGATAAATCTGATTAACTGAGAACACACACACTTTTAGGCAGGTACTTAACAGATCTCCTCTTATTTGTAACTCGGAAGCAAACTGTTGGCTTGGCTTTGGGCCGATGTCCTCCAACCTCATGTTGAAGGCTTGGTCTCCTGGCTGGTGGCGCTATTAGAATGTGGTGGAAACTAGGACAGAGGGCTTAGGAGGTAAAGTGCACGCTGGCCTTTGAGGGATGGACTTTTGTCCCTGGGACCATGGGAGTTTGTGAATTTTAACTTTTAGAAAAAATAGGGCTAAGAGATCAAAGCTGTGCCCATGGAAGAACAGGGGAAATAAGGGAACTCTATCTATGCTGCTTAATTCAGCTATGAACCTAAAAGCACCTTACATGCCTATATTAAAAATAAACTTGAGGGGCTGGTGAGATGGCTCAGTGGTCTAAAGCACCTACTTAGAACAAGCTTAGCAAAGAACAGGGACTGCGGTTCGATCCCCCAGCACCACATGCCAGCCAGCCCTGCCCCCGGTGGGCTGAGCTGGCCACACACACACACACACACACACACACACACAATAAAAAATAAATAAATAAACTTGAATGATGATAAACATTTTTATGTTTACATTAAAAACTCACTAGAGACCGCTAGGCAAATAACACCAATATCAATGATATTTACTCACTTGAACTTTATAATGGATAATATTGTACTAAAGGCCATTAACTTGATTTCTGAAAACCTCAGTAATTGCTCACAAATGTGTTCCCTTTATTACAGATACTAACTTTACCAAAGCTCATTTTTTAAATTTGTTTTAATTCTAGAGTTGTATCAAGTATCAAATAGGTTTCTGATTTTATACCTCAAAGTAACTAACTTCCACTTTGTATCACAGCTTCTCACTGCACCCCATGTTTCAGTGTCATCTGCTCAACAACTATTTAGGGATAACTATTTGCTTACTATTAAAGTAGAAAAAAGATGGACAGATTCCCCACCTTCAGGTAGCTCCTTGAAAAAGAGGGTTTGCTAAGGTGCTTTACCACAGACCCTTTGGCTTCCTCCCCAAATACCCTTCCCCAGGGCACTGTGTTCATCTCCCCAGTGCTGTGAGTCTTCATTGCAAATGCCTCAGAGCTGTTCCTTTCTACTGCCAACTCCTAGCAGCTAGTAGGAAGTACTTCACCAGCAAAAAAACGGAAGCTTACTCATATGTCTGTCCCAGAAGAGACTACCCAATGACAAGAATGGGCCAGGCCCCACTGCCTGAAAGCAGAATAGTTCTGAGACAACATTCATATTCCAAACGGCCCCTGGAGATTGGCTGCAGCTCTACCTCTGCTGAAACCACTTCTTTTGTTTAGTTTTGGGATTCCTTTTTTATTTCTCTTGTCCCATCCTGCTGTCCTTGTCTTCTTATTATAGGTCCTTACTGAAAGTATTTCCTAAGGAACCATTTGCCCAAGAATCCTGCCCTTTCGTTGCTGCTTCCAGAGAAGTTGGCTAAAGACATTTAGTTTTATTTATTCAGCCTAAGTGGCCTGGTATTTATTAATGCCCCTCAACTCCTAGGTTGAGTTTCTAGATTATTACTATTATTTAATCTTTTATTTATTTAAAGGGTATAGGGTCTCACTATGTAGATCCCTCTGTTTCAGCCTCCTCAGCAATGGGATTACAGGCATGAGCCACCACATCTGGTTTTGGTGGCCAGGAAAACAAACCCAGGGTTCCAGGGCTGGCACAGAATGCGGTACTGGGGATTGAACCCAGGTCCTTGCACTTGCCAGGCAGGTGCTTAGATCGCCAAGCTATCTCCCCAGCTCTGAGTTCTCAGATTTAACAAATAAAAATTATACAATACTCTAGTGGAATTTAAGTTTCAGATAAACACTAAATAATTTATTAATACTATAAGTATATCCTTTGCTATAGTTAGGACACAGTAAAAATTACAATAGGGGGCTGGAGATACAGCTCAGTGCCATAGCACCTGCCTTCCAAGCCCAAGGTCATGAGTTCAAGCCCCAGTACCACCAAATAAAATAAAATAAAAATTACAATAATGTTTCAGCCAAAACCGGACTGCACATCTAATGACATGCCATATAGTCCACATGAGCAGTAAGCTGCATTGTCCAGTTTGTGAAAGCACACTCTGTGATGTCTGTACAGTGACATGTCACCCAATGATGCATTTCTCAAAATGTCTCTCTATTGTTAAATAACACACGACTGTATTTATTTTTTACAATTCAGATTCACCTGAGAGTCTTGTGTTTTATCTGGCAACGATATTCCAAGGATTTTAATGGCCAATTAATGCCTCCCACCGCTTCCCAGCCAAACACCAACCTCAGCACCACTTCTTACACTGCAGCTCTCTGCTTCCTAGACAGCAGCACTAATTTGAAGTTCCAAAATCCCAAGATACTTTTCTGATCCTTGTGTCATTTCTCTAGTGCTCCACTGCAAAAATTGATACCGTTTTCTGACACTCTGGTTTCATCTTTTTATCTCCTGTCCCTTCTTTTTTCTAATCATTCACAATAGAAATGACTCATCCAAGAATTTCATACTGGAGAAGTCAAATACTTGTATATGCTACAAAGCACCTGAATGTTCATTACTATAATTTTACATAAAGAGAATCTGAGATTAGGAAAGGATAACTGTATTCAACAATTACAAGTCAGACAATAAATGGATAAAAAGTACTATGCCACATCACAAAGTAATCTTTAATGTGTAAACTGAAAATAATTTAAATGTATACCAATGTCCTGTAGCATCTGTCAGTTAGAGGAGTAATGACAAGTCGAGGGGAGTTGCCAAGATATTCATAAGCATATTTTACATTGCAATTAATGATATGAACACGAGCATTCTCATATTCCCAATAATAGCGAAGCTGAGCAAGCCACTGGAAATCTGTGTCATGCGAAACACCTAGAAAGTATAAAACACACAATCTTTAAATAGAAATAATTTTAAAAGCAGGTATTTTACAATCTGTTATAACAACAAATATTAAAACAATGTATCGTAGAAAGAGCATCAAAAGAAATTCTATTGAGAAAGACACATGGTATACACTTTTGTTTCTAGAAACTATCAATTTTACCTTTTAAGATTTTTTTTTTTTTTTGGTACTGGAATTCAAACTCAGGACCTTGCACTTCTTAGGTAGGCAGTTGTACCACTCAACTATATCCATGACACCTAATATTTTACCTTTAATATTAAAGAGAAAGTCACATACCCTTTTCAATCATGTCCATGACCACATCTCTAGCATGGACATCAATTGTAACTAAAGCTCCCAGGGTGATCCTGGTCTGTTTGGACAGCTTTCCTCTTACCAACTCTACAATATTATTCAGTTGATACTGGAGTTCTTTATAGTACTTCTTTAATCCCTACAAAATAAAGATTTATGTTCTATATTTACCTAAAACATGAATTTTATATGCTTATTCAGTTATAGCTTTATAACCTATCTCAATAAAGAAATAAATTACTGAATACAGTGATTTTTATCTAAACCTAGTAAAAAGAACAAGTTTTCTAAGAATTACATGGTTTTAATGATGTATATATAAACTGAGAGCAGACGAGATATACCAATTAAGAACTACAGAATCAGAATAAAAGAATCTTCTCTAAAATGAGATAATGCTTTACCTCTGTTCCATCACTTATAACCTCTTGTGTCTCAGAAGTCCAGAACATTTGAGAAACACAAAGTACAACCTGTCCAGGCCACTCTCGAACCCAGTCTCTTCTTGCAGATTCTGGATAAGCCTAAAGGAGGAAAATGAATTTCTAAGTTTAAAAGACTGCACGAGAAAAAAATAAAAGAGCTAAATGTGTAACAATAAAAAGTACAGTATCTGCTATATTTCCAGGTTAGAATAACATTTAGTTATGCAAAACTTTAAAAGGCTATTCAAAAGACCTGAATAATGGGATGATCAAAAATATGGTTAATGTTTAAATTTAAAAATTACAGTAAAAGACATTCCCATTCACCCACCTCAAAACAACACTCCCCTTTGCTTGGAACACACTTATCCCATGCTTCTTGGCAATGTGGTTTTTACTGTAAAAGGTTTTTATGGAATTTTTTTTTTTAAACAGAAGCCACTCAGACTGCGTTCCTTTCCTTTTGCTCCCCCAAGGGAGGCAGCAAGAAGGATCATCAAGGGCAGGCGGCAGCTGCAGCAAAGCGACACCGAGAGCCGGCCTCAGGCTCAGAAAGGAACGCTGCGCCTCCTCCTCGTGGTTTCTGGTACTCTACACGGTCAGAGAAACTTCTCTAGTAGCATACTATGGAAATGATCCCTGAAAGTATAGCCTTTATGGGATATTTTTTGAGACAGAGTCTGACTGTATAGTTCAGGCAGGCCATGAACTTATCATGGAGGCTGGGCTGGACTCAAAGTCATAGCGATTCTTCTATCTGAACCTCTCTGGTACTAGAATTACAGTCGCATGCTTTGAAATAGGTTTTGTAAATTTTAAAGCATTTACTGTGCATTTTGATCACTCTTTTGCTTTTATAAATCATGATTATATTTTTGAAATATAATTGATTTAAATATTATAGTTTATTAATAAAAGAAATGGAAAATGAGTGCCAACATGCTAATTACGGGCTGGACAGAGTTGAACCCTGATTGTTCTGGAAATTTCTTTTTTTTTGAAATTTATTTCTATGTGATTTTTATGTTCAATTATTGTGGAAACTGTCAAGTTTTTTATATAAAACATATTTTCTGGGGTGGGGGAGATGGCTCAGTGGAATAAGTGCTTCCCTGGCAAGTGCAATGAAAATATAAGGGTTTCATTAAACTATAAAAATGAATTCAAATAGATTATATATGCTAATGCTAAGATTTAATTGAAAATGCTATATAATAGAAAACCAGGCTAGTAGTCATTATTTACTCATAGCTTTTCTAAAAAGTTGTATGATCAGGTTACACAAATATGTACATACACTTAACTATGCATCACTAAACAATCTATATTTTTCAGTTTGTTCTGGTTTGTAATCAGATGCCCCGCACCACCAAGACTCACGTACTCATAGGTGAGGCTTTTCAGAGGTGGCCGGATCTAGACTTTGTGAATATTGATTAATGGTGTGTGATAACAAAATTGCTTTAGCATAGTTTTGGGTGTAAATAAATAATGGGAAGCCACCTGGGTGTGGCTGGCACCAACCAATTGGTTTGTATTCTGGTTAGACCCCACAGGCAAGATGGAAGGCAGCCCCTGCTGCATGCTGCTCCCTGCCTTTTCTCTGCCCGCCGTTGACTGTCTCTCCTTTGTGATGCCCCTCTGCCGTGTAACCTTGCCTTGGAAGCAGCCAACCAAGGCCTGAAGCCCTACCAACTGTGAGCTAAAAGAAACCCTTCCTCTTTCAACTTGTGGGTGTCAGGTATTTTGTCCCAGCAACAAGAAAGTCAGTAAGACAGAGCTTAAAGTATACTTTCATTTATTGCTAATAATGTTATACTTAAAAGGCACTTCATAGGCTTGGGAAAGTCTCAATCAGTTAAAAAAAAAATAGTCTGCTTCAATAAAAATTATAATAGCAGATAAAAATTTTTATAAAAACAAAAAACTCTGCAAAATAGTTTCAAAATTGATAATGGAAACTATACTTTTAATAAAATAGCAGCATCTTAGGTATAAGAAAGTTAAGAGACTAAAGGATATAGACACATATTTGTATAAAATGCTTATTATATATTTATAAATAAATGGAAGGGACAAACTAGCCTAAGCTTTAAAGAAGGATGAGTGACCACTGAGAATTATTGCTAAGTACATGGAAAGGAAATTTGCTATACTGATCAAGGCAATACTTCTGTGGACGATGCTAATGCTATGTTTTTAGTTTGTTTGGAATTATAAACAGTAAAAGAAGAGGAAAAACTGTCTGCAGGGAAAATTTATGTGCAGGAAGACTGAAACTGTACAAAAAGCCACTTCAAGAGGACAAGGTTACATTGCTTTTGATGAAAGGAGAAGGCCACCTCACTTATGCGGTGAGTTGCTGCATGTAAAGCTTCAAGGACATTCACAGCTACCCACTGACTACCGGACTGCTCCTTTCTGGTCCTCACTGCAAAATTATACAAATATGCATCCTCCAACCTTAGGTTTACTGGAGCATATGAAGAAAGGCACATACAGTGTCCAAGTATTAGATGTCTTTCAAATTTGTTCTGTATCCTTTAATGTTTGTTCATCTCATTTGGAGTTTTTTTGTCATTGTGTATAAAACAGTAAGTGAATCCATCCATCACCCAAGTTTAAGAAACACTGACCCATAGATAAGCAAGTGTTAAAGGGCGTAATTCTTTGTTTATTAGACATAACCACTAGCTACCTTATAAGAATTTCAATTTTAACATAAATTTTTTATTTTCTCCAAGGCTCCACTAACCTATTTCTCTTGTAAGTATTGACCAAAAGTAAGTATCACCTATATTCTTAAGTCAGAAACATTAAATTATTAAGCCCTTCCCCTCCTTGTTTCTGTATTCTACAACCAATTTATCACCAAAACCCGGTGAAATCAACTACAAAAGCTATTTCTCAACTGTCCTTGGTTGTGTCACTGCCTAGTACCAAACTAAGTGTCTTTCATCTTGGCTAATACAACATTCTCCTAATCTTAATCTTTTCATGTCTCTCACTAACCTATTCTTTATACCATAGCCATAGTGGCATAAAAATGTAAACCAGATTAGGTTTACCCTGATTAAAATACTGTTAACCTTGTACTGCATTTAAAATGACATCCAACCTCCTAACTGCCTTCCTTTCCTACCTCATCAAACTCTACTTTGTGCTTTACTCACTCTACCCCAGACCAGCTGTGTGGCTGGAAGTGGGCTGGGGTGGGGCTGGGCCCGGGTTAGCCTCAGCTGGCACATTTTGGAGCAGCATTATTGGCTAAAAGGAAAACAATGTTCTAAGAATTTACTCCATTTTAACCCAGCGAAGATTCAAGTACATAAAAACATGAGGGGCCAGGGAGATGGCTCAGTGGAATAAGCGCTTCCCTGGCAAGTGCAAGGGCCTGAGTTCAATCCCTGGTTCCGCAAAAAAATAAATAAATAAATAAAAATTAAAAAAAAATAAAAACATGAATGTTTTCTCTATACATCATTTTAATATTCTGTTTAAATAGGTTAACATTTCCAGACATGAAGGAGGGCAGCAAACTGCTCAAGCTGAATGAACGCAAGCTGTGGCACTGCTCCAGATGCAGGAGTCTTCTACCACGTCCTCACGGTCCTCAGTTCTTTTTGAACTTGGGCCTCTGTACAGAGTGTCTTTACTTGATTATTTGCTACTTATCCTGAGACCATTACTACCTCTAAAAGCCTACCACTGGACTTGCCTACATTCTAAAGAAGTTTTTGTCTTCCTTTTTTTTATTTTTATTTTTCGACAGTTCATTTTATTAAATAATTTGTAAGGTCAAACCAATTCATTGACTAGTTAGGGGAAACCATGCCTTCACACTATCATGGCATAGATTATGCCAGGTATTATTTTTTTGAGACAAGCTATCATTACGGAGTGTAGGCTGGCCTTGAACTTGCAGTGATCCTCCTACCTCAGCCTCCCAAGTGCTGGGATTATAGGCACACTCCACCATGCCTGGTCTATGTTAGGTATAAGAACATTCATATTCACAAAAAAATTTTAATTAAAGTGGGAGGGCAGACTCTTACTCATCAGGAAAATTGCATTAAATGTTCCAACGTATCTATCTTGTTTTACAGTGGAGTACCATGATAAGTTGTTCCACATACCCCTTTTTTTTTTGTTCTGGAACCGGGATGGAACTCTGGACCTTGGGCTTGCCAGGCAGTCACTTAAGCCACTGAGCTATCTCCCTGCCCCCCGCCCCCCGCACTTTCTTACTGCCTCTCCCTAGCAGTTTGTCTGTTTTGAAGTCCCTGTATTTTTTTGTGTGCAACTCAAACTGGTCTTGAGTTTTCTATGTAGCTAAAGGTGTCCTTGAACTCAAAATTTTCCTGCTGCAGACTGATTGCTGGGATTGCAGGTGTGAGCTACTGTATCTGGTATCTTATCTGCTTTCACCATCAAGCAGTAACTCTGTAACACCCTAAACCCAAATAGACCCCATTCAACTGAGTATAACACTGTAGACACAAAAGATACCTCATCTCAACTCTCACCTTTGAGATAAAGCAGCCTGGAAAAGGTAGGTAAGTGCTGGCCAAAAATAAGAGAAACACCTTCAGGAAAATCTGACAAAAACCTAGTAAGAACGTCACGAATTAAAATCCAGAAAAAAAGTGCTACAGTGGGAAAGCAGTCTTAACTAATGGTCTGAAATGCCTTTCAGAAAGAGGCCAGGAATGACCCTTCCAGAACAGGGGCTTTGGCTGCCGAGCTGGATGGCCCAAATGTACCCTGCAAGCAGCCTGTCTTGCAAATGGCAAGTGTCTGGCTCAATCTGCAGTGAGTCTTTTGCTCCATCACAGAGCACTTTCCAATGTGTTATAGTTGTCCTTAAAGCTCTTCAACTCCAGGAAGTGCTTGGCATGCTTGCTCTTCTGACTGGAGGGGAGGTATGTCACTTGGATGGTTGTAGGGGAGACTTCAGGAGACTGAGTTAGGTCTTTGGCTGCTGACTGATGTTGTCGCTGAGAGCTCCCAATTCATGCTTTGATCATGGTGGCCAGCTCACTTAGGGCCTCCTGATAGCGCAGGTACTCAAAGACCAAAGACCCCTGTCCCATAACGGGCTGTCTATGGTAATGGGCGCTTCTCTGTAGATAAGAGAAAGCAAGAGTTCGCTGACGAG